ACCCGCCTGGGCAACTTGGCGAGACCTCATCTCTACAATAAATTAAAAAAAAAATTAGCTGGGTGTGGTAGCATGTGCCTGTAGTTCCAGTTACTTGGAAGGCTGAGGCGGAAGGATCGCCAGAGCCCAGCAGGTCGAGGCTGCGGTGGCCGGGAGCGGCCACTGCACTCCAGTCTGGGCGACAGAGTGAGACTCCAACTCAAAAAACAAACAAACAAACAAACAAACAAAACCAAAAACAACCCCCCCAAAAAAACAAATAGGAAATGGATATCAACAGCACCTTGTAAACAGTATCTTGTAGAGTGCTGTGCACATGACCTTATTTGGGCTCAGTTCAAGCGGCTGGCTGACTCACGGCAGCCACCTTTCCCACAGGAGCTCAGAGGAGCAGCGAATGATGGGTGGAGTGTCACATTCTCAGGTTGCGGGCGTTGGGATGACTCCACCAGCCCAGGATGTTCCCAGTGGGCCAGCTCCTCCTCCCACCTGCCCCCTCTGACCCCGCCTCTTTCTTCCTAGGTGGTGACCATCGCTATGTGAACAACTACACAAACAGCTACGGGAGTGAGTGGGGTACGCCGGACACCATGAAGAGATACTCCATGTACCTGACACCCAAGGGTAAGGGCACACCTTCTCACCATAGTCCTGGGGCATCCCTCCTGCCAAAGGGCCCCAGAGTCTTTGGCATCCCTTGCTGTCCATGTAATAATGCATAGCTCCTGCTTCCCTCTTATGAGTGTCGTGGTTCTGATGACAAGTCACTGGTGCCCCGCTCCTCAGAGCTTCCCCTTTCCCTTGCTTCCTGCCCACCCCCTTGCTTCTCTTTCCTTCCAAGGGTCTCTTGGGCTCTCCCCTGCCAGGCTGAAGCAGTGTTTGGCTTCCGCTCACGTTTTCATAGGTGCTGAGCCCTGCGGGGAGGCTGCCTCCCCAAGAACCCTCTACCCCTCAAGGGCAGGGAGAGGCATCTCCTCTTCTGAGTGTCCTTACCATGCAGCCCGGCCCCCTCAGCCTTCCCTCCCAGGCCCTGGAGAAGCCCAGCCTGCAGGGCTTCAACCTGGTGGGGTATCAACCAGGGCCTGCCTATTCTTGCCGTGTAGTGGCCTGTCGAATTCCTGGGTGCCAGCAGCAAACCACAACAATGTCCGTTACATAAGGGTGGGTGTGCCGGGCCTGCCAGCCCTTGGACGCAGGGGTTTGTGGATGGGCATGTGGGGTACACATGGGTGGAGAGGGGCTGAGGGAGCAGGGGGAAGGGGAGGGAGGAGGAGAACATGGGGAAGGCACAAGTCACCAGAGAGGAAAGTCTTGAGGCCCTAAGCAGTAACACACACACACACACACACACACACACACACACACACACACACACACACACACAGTGGGAGGAGCTTGGGGGATTTGGAGAGATGAGCTCAACAGAGAAGCACCTTTGCTGCCCCACCCAACTTGAAAACACCTGGTCTTCTCAGGGTTAGGTTCTCCCCACTCCAACATACCTGGGGTGGGCTGGGCCCCAGCTGGCCAGTCTTGCCCTTTCCCCTGCCCCTTTGGGCTGAGTTCCATGAGAGGACGAGTGTACCAACTAGCGCCACCAGCATCCTCTCCTCAGAACCCCCGACCCCACCTTGCCCTGGCCTGTTCCCTCCTGTCCCTCCCTTTCATCTAAGAACCGGATCCTGATGTGGCATCGAGTGCCCTGACAGGCCCCTGCTTGTTTCTCCTACTCTGTAGGAAATCCAGGGCTTAGTATGAGCCCCCGGCAGGCTACAGAAGGTGAGCAGAGCAGCACGGGATGGGGAGTGGTTGAGGGAGGTGGGGGTGGAGGGAAGAACACCACCTGCTCACAGAGATGTCACCCTGAGGGTCCAGGCACTGGGGCACATTGGACTGGCCACTGCCCCCTCTGAGAAGAGGGATGGCTGGGCTTACCTGCTAGGAGACCTCTCAGCTCTGTCACTGTGAATCAGCCCATGACATTTGTGATGGAAGAAACAGGTTCCCCCAGTATCCCTGCCCCAAGCACTATGGGGCAGGAAATCTGCCCTCTGGGAGCTCCCAGGCTCAGGGTAGAGGTGAGGGGAGGGCCAGAGAAAGTCACCAGGAGATCAGGGAGACAAGGCCACTAAAAGGCCACCAGGCCTCGAGTCTGAGAGTTTTAGGGTCAGTGGGATTGGGCAGTGGCTGTGACTCCTTCCCGGGAGAGAGCAGTTTCGAGGAACCATGTGCTCAGTAAAAGGGGCATGCCTGTGAGGGGCAGAGGGCAGTGGGGTGAGAAAGGTTTAGAGGAAGGACCAGCAGGTGCTGGGGCCTGAGGGCCAGAATTGGGGGTGTGGTATAGCTGAGGGCAGGCGGGGAGGGGAGGAGATAACAGGACCCTAACATACCTGAGGAGCTGTAAGGTGGGGGTATGGATCCCCCTCTGTCTTCCTCACAAGGCTGTGTGAGAGCCCAGGTGGGCGGGGAAGGAAAGCACTTGTGAGGTGAGGCTCCCACCCCAGGGCCCAGCCACAGCCGTATGGGCACCCGGGAGATGTTCTCAGTGGTGCATTAGGCCCACCCAAGGGCCCATCCTTCCCTTGGCGAAGGGCCCACATCTCTATCCCCCACGGTTGCCGTGGCCTCTCCTTCCTCCCAAGCACCCCAGTTTCCAGCTTCTGGGGTTTCATTCACATAGGGGCTGACTCAGGAAGGAAGTGTTGGGTCTTCCAGCCCCCAATGCCCCACAAAGTCCCCTAAGTAGGCGACCATGAGTCTTAGTCTATCCAGGACCACCCAGATTTACACCAAATTTACCACTTTGGTCTAATTGTTAGCAGAGCTGATTCTGCTCTCAGAAGCCTCCTGATTTGGGGAATAAATTAGGTGATCGCCTTATGCTAGACCTGGGAGACCTCTCTTGTGGTAGAATCCAGGTCCTGTGACAGGCCGCTGGGGAGCTGTTTGGGGGCCAGGAATCTTGCATGGGGCACCTGCAGTCAGAGGCCTTGGGCCCTGAGTTGAGCATTGACTCCCCTTCTTTATCTGCTTCACAGGCGGAGCCCGGACATCCTACCAGCCCTCATCTCCTGGCCGCTTCTCCAAGGAGACCACCCAGAAAAATTTCAACAATCTCTATGGCACCAAAGGTAGGCGGGTGGCTCAGGGGTAGGCAGGGCCCACGTTGGGGCCATGCAGACAAGAGGTGGGGTGGGGGTGGCAGTGGGTCAGGCCATAGGGCAGGGGGCTGGATTCCCTAGTATGAGATTAATGTAGGGAGCTAGAATGGGGTGGGGTCCCAGACTGGGGTGGGGAGGGTCCCAAGGAGCTTAAAGTATGTGTGTGTGACATCATTAGTTAGGCTGGAGGAAAGGCAGTCAGGAGCCTCGGTATTACGAGAACTCTCAGATTCCATATGCTCTTCTTACCCCTGAGCAATGATTCCAGGGGAACTGGGGGCAAGCAGCCACCCTGGGGTTGGGTATGGAGACCTCCTCCAGCAAGTGTCAGGGCAGGAGGACCCACAGAGGACCTTGACTGACTGGTTTACTTTTGTGTTGAAAAGTTGTACCGTGGTTGAAACATATTAGTTTAGCCGTGAATGGAAAGGAAGGCATGGTATGAAATGGGCAGTCCCTGGAAATCCAGGGGGTACTGTCACCATGTGAGGCCAGTGAGTGAGCGATGCCTTAAAACTCAGAAGAGGAGAAATGGAGGTGGGGGTGTGGCCTAGCTCAGGGCACTCTGAGGGGACTATAGTGCCTGAGGACAGGGCCATGCATGATGAGTCCTGGCTCTAGGGGTGGGAGGGGGGTCCTGGTTCTGTCCTAGGGGCTCCCGGGTGCATACCAGTCCAGGAAGGAAGGAACTGGGCCAGCTATACCAGAGCCTCTGCCCCAGAAACAGCACTAGAGGGACTCTTCAGTGAGGATAAGGCCACTGGCACTGGGGGGGCAGGAGCACATTGTGGGCAGGGTGGTGCCCCAGCCTCTATGTCCAGGATTGGTTTCACAGCTGTGACATGCACCCCTCTCCTCCTCACATGCAGTGGACTGGGCTCCACAAGGGTAGAGCTGACTCTGTCCAATTCCTTCCTATAACCCCAGGGCCCCAAAGTGGGAGAGGGATGCAGGAAACAGTTATTATTTTTTTTGAGTTGGAGTCTCACTCTGTTGCCCAGACTGGAGTGCAGTGGCCACTCCCAGCCACCGCAGCCTCGACCTGCTGGGCTCCGG